CGAGGCAAGATGGCACATGGAAGCAAATCTATCTCCTCAGGGTTTATCATCTGTTTTGGGATTGTTGGTCCCCAGTAAATTAGACTGGGCCATTTAATTTCAAAGATGATAGTAACTGGAGTTGGAGAAAAACACTGAGGGCTTTTTCTTGTGAATCTGATCTTTTCTGGAATTTTGTGGAGATTCCTTACCAGGCAGAGTCACTCAGCTGGCCTTGCACTCTGCCACAAGCCTGGTGGGGCCTATCTCGGCCCTCCTTGCTTCTGTACTGACTCCCTGCTGCCGGGCACTACCTCACCTGGGTCAGGTGACCATCCAGGCTTTTAAAATATAGGTAAAAGGGTTGATTTTTTTCTAGTAGTACATCCAGAGCCATTTCTCTTCAGGGATTAAGTGCCAAATCTGGGGTTTAAATCCCAAGTCACAAAATTTTTAGATCTCCTATTCTTGTGCAATTAATGAAGATCTACATACTGGTGAAATACCAAGTTTTAAAAAAATTTATTTATGCATATAAGAAATGGGGTACAGGCCAGAGGTTGGGGGTTGAGGATTCCCCAGAGACAGTGGGGAGCAGAATAGGGGGACTGAAGTACACGGCTGAGGGGAGCAGCCTGCAAGGACTGGGCAGGAGCTGTCTGCCGGGCCACTTGGGCCAGCTCCCTGGCCAGGGATGGAACTGCTACAGTCTCCTAATACTGTGCGTTAACCCCTTGTGCCACTAGGGAGGCCTGAAATGTAAATACCAGTTTTTGAAACTGCACTAACATTGGTTTATAACAAATGTTCCAGTATCTGTATATACACTGCTCACTGGGCCTGACTTTACTCACTGTACTCACTGGGTCACAGAGATGTCCTTGGCTCTGTCTTCTGCATTAGACCTAAAGATTCCCAGTAGCATGTGAATCTGGGCGAGAGGTTCACTCATTCACTTCTTTCTGAACTTGAGTTTACTCATCTGTGAAATGTGGATCACTGCAGTAGCTTTTGTGTGTGTGAGGTACATAGTAATCGCTCCATCTCAGCTGCTTTGGAATCTTGTACAGTAGGAAGAACGAAGACAGCTTGGGGGTGGCTCAGGCATCTAGATTTGCCTCCCCCAGGCTGTGGGGAAGGAATTTTTTTAAATGGGGAGGTGGGAATAGCTTTCAGCCACTCCCTATTTTACTGCATCACCTCTAAGCCCTGGGCTTGTCTACAGGGATGCCAAAGTGCCCCCCATCTCTTCCCCCCCAGAGCCCACAACCTCCCTTGCTGCATTGTGAGTTTAATTAATGCAATTAACATTTACAAGGTCTGTGAAATGGTTCTGTGGCTGCTGCCAGCCCTGAGGAAACCAATGACCTCACTTCTCAGTTTTATTGTTGGATTAAGGAGGGGGCTGCCCTGTGCCTTTTCCCTGAGCCTCTTTGGGGGTGCACCACCCACCCTTATGCCACATTGCATCTGAGCACGTCTGACCTGCTTCGGCACAGACATGAGCGCCCTGCACTAATGAGGCTGGGCCTTGCAGGGACGCCCATCTGCCTGCCTGGCCGCCTCAGAATCACATGCTAGACCCAGCCTCTTTGAATGGTCACTGCCACCCCCTGTGAAGGGAAACCCTTAGCTGGAGAGCAAGCTCCTCAGTCTGAAAGCTCTGGTTGCCCCCCAGGAAGGATGATGCATGGTTCTAACCTTTATAATTCTCTGTCTTAAGCACAGCAGCTGCAGCACGTGCCCTGGCTGCCTGGGCTTGTGTGTTGGCACTGCCACGTTGTTGGGTGACTTAATTCATCAAGGCCTGTTGAGAGCAGGTTGATAACAGGACCTGCCTCGGGTTGGAGTGGGGGTTTGAGATGTTTGTGCTGTCTTGGGCTAACAGGAGCAACCTGGGGAGTCACCCAGTAGTTGCATGGCAAGGTACTGTTCCACAGCCATGACGCCAGCCATGCTGGAAAAGCCCCTTCCTTGCAAGGTGTGCTGACTCTTCAGGGAGGTAGCCCAACCATACGACCCTTCAGCACCGGCAGGATCACAGAAGGTCATGCAGTTGGCCTGTGTTGGGGGCCAAGCTTGAGTTACTGGAGGCCCAACAGATACGAGGTGTGGAGATTTCTATCAAATCAATCTATGGTGTTAATTTCTTCCTGTGAGCGAGACCATGTCATTGGTGTGTTTTGACTTCCCTGGCCTCGATTAAGACTCGATTAAGCACTTTAACAAGTCACATTAATCAAATACGACCTTGCTTAACCTATCTATGCTTCAGGTTAGCCCTCCTGTAAGGTATGAATAATGCTATGATCACATTTAAGGATTAGATGGGTTAATGCAGGTGAGTCACAGAAGAGTAGCTAGCATCCCATGTACGAGGATTTATGACGTATCTGTGGGGAGGGCCAGGTTCATATTTTTTGGCACAGAGAACCTATGAGGGAAGCCTCACTGGCTTGTGAACTGTGGCTTTGGAAGCCTGAGGAATAAGGAGACGTGCTAGGTAGGATCCTGCGGAGACCGAAAGCAGGTAGATGCCCAGAGGCTGGATTGGCTTGATGCGTGCAGTGTGTGTGCAAGGGGAAATGAACTGAGCTGGCGTCCTGAAACCATCAGAGTGAGTTCTGGAAGCCACTTGTGTTGTATCAGGAGGGCGGAAGGTCAGTCACTGTTGCTGACCTGGTGTGGTGAGAACTGCTGAGCAGTGTCTACAGGGTTACATACTGAATTGTTACTGGACAGAGGATTTGACCTTCCCAGCTCACCACAGGGCAGCCAGAGAGTCAGTGACACGTGGGACTGGTGGTTTCTGGCCCTGACGCTTCCTGCAAGGCTCTGCCTCGAGCCTGCTCCTTAGGGCTGAGAGCTGGCTGTGGGGAAGTGCCCTGCCCAGATGTCCAGTGAGGATGCTGGACAGGCTGGCACTGCGGAGGCCCCAGGGAGTTAATCATTGTCTCATTGTCAGTTCTGTGCTGCAGGCCCCACCCAGGGTTGTGTGGAGGGAAACTGGCCTGACATTCTGACCCAGTTAGAGGAAGCCCTGGCCCCTGGTAAAAGGGAAGTCATGGCCTCACTTTCAGCCTCTGACCTGTCACCTGCTTCTGGCAGACCAGTCTCTTCCTCCGCAGGGCTCTCCAGGGACCCTTCTGGTGCTTCCCTCCCTGAGCCAGGCTCCCAGGTTACTGAGTTCAGTAGTTTGGCCTGAGGTGACACACTGCAAATTATTACTCTGAACCACACTCCAGCAGTTTTCTTGGGATTCTGACCATTTGACCTCACAGGAACTGGCTGTGGGTCAGGTGGCCTGTTCTTCCAGGGCAGGACTGGTGTGTTTGTTAGGGGCTGGGTCAAGAACTCCTCCCTTTCCCCTCAGGCTGGTAAGATGCCCATGTCGTGTTCTGTGTCAGCTTATAGCCAGGACACTTGGGTTTGCTTATTAGTGCAACTGGCACTCCGATTCAGTGGTCTTATAGGACCATGCTTAAGATTCTGCATTTTTAACTAGCATTTGAGGTTTTCCATAGGTGATGGTCTAGGTGTCCACTGGGAACAGAGAGATTTTTCTAGATGTCCTGTGCCCTGAGGAGCAAACAGGTGCAGAGGGTGGAGCTGGGACCACAGATGTCAGGCAGCTTCCACGTGGGGGCGCTGCCAGTCACGCTGGCCTGAGCTCCACAGCGCCCTCTGCTGTGTGGCGCAGCGCTCACTGCCCCCAGCGCCCAGTAGCCCCTGTGGGGCTTCTAGAAGGAAGCCATCCACACCTCGTGAGGCCGGTGGACGGGACGCTGGGAAGATCTGTCAGCTTGGAAAGCTTTTCCTAAGCGGACTTTCAGGATAGGAAGGTAAGATACCAATTGCCTTTAGAACTCTTGGGAGAAGGGAGAATTACGGGATGGGACCTGGGGCCTTCCCCAAAACCTAGGCTCGATTTTTGCCAACTGAAGTGCAGCAAAAGGAAAACCGACTCCGCCTAGGACTCTGTCTTCCGCTGGAGTTTGTCGGCCCGGGCTGTTTAATATGATGTGCACTTGGGGTTTGACCTGGGGCTTCGGCACCTTGACCCCACCCTCTTAGAGACTAGGCTGGGACATGAGTCAGTGTTGCTTTCCTAAAAGGAAAATCACAGCCACGTTAAGAGGACTAAATGAGAGAAAGGTACAAAAGTAGCCAAGTGGCCAGGTCAAGGGTCACACATGAACCACTCAGCGGAGATGTGGCCTGCGCTGGTCCTGGCTGGTTGGCCTAGTGGGGGCGCAGACCCAGCAGGGGCAGCAGTGGGAGGCAACGGGTCAGAGCCGGACAAGAGGCTGGACAGTGCCCCTTGCTGTTCACTGCCCCACGCCTTGGCCCGAGCGCATCCATCCTTCTCTACTTGGGAACTTGGGACTTTGAGCCCCAGCTGGTGAGAGGAGGGGAGTGAGCGGCAGGCCAGCAGACCAATGGGCCCTGGAGGTTGGTGTAGGGCGGGGCTTGTGCTGCCATGGAGAGGAGAGAAGCTGTTCTGTGGGGGAGGAAGGGGCGGTAGGAAGAGGACCTGGAGATTGAGGGGAAGGGAGAGCAAACAAAGGGGTCAGGAGGGAAAATAATGCCCCGGCTTCCTGAAGCCCTGCAGAGTCTGGGCAGGGAGAGGGGCCGGGCTAGAGGGCACCAAGAGGGCCACAGGCGGCCTAGGCGGGCGGTCCTCCATGGCATTGTTTGAAGGGGCCGGCTAATTGCAGAAGCAGCCTGAGTCTTAGACCCTGGCCCAGCCCCCTCCTCCGTCCAGGGTGCTGGCAGCCTGAGCCTTCAGGCTGCCTGGCCACATGGAGCCAAGTCCTGAGCCTCCGAGTTTGGTGAGGGGGACAAGGGGCAGGCTATGGGGGTCGCCTGCGTGGGGTACTGCAGGAGTGTCACCCTGAGGATGTGGCATGGGGTTCCTCTCGCCTTGAACATAGAGCGCTGGATGGAGGTGTGCTGTCCACTCCTGTCCGCAGCCCCTGTTCCCCGCTCCCCTACTCATCCTGGCCCTCCCACAGGAAACAATGAAGGGAGACACCAGACAGCTCAATGGAGAGGACGACGCCAGCGGGAGGGAAGACTCCATCGTCACCAATGGGTCCTGCAGCGACCAGTCCTCCGACTCCAAGGACGCTCCCTCACCCCCCATCCTGGAGGCGATCAGCACCCCGGAGATCAGAGGTGTGGGGCTGTGGGAGGAGGGTGGGCAGTGCAGACCCTGTGCCCTCCCGGCAGAGCTCAGGCAGGCATCGGAGGGTCTGGCTCTGACAGCCCCTCTTCGGGGACAGGAAGAGGGTGCAGACAGCCAGGCCCATTCGTCTTGTGGGCGCAGCCGTGGCCTCCCCACTCTGCTCTCCCCTCTGCTTGGATTCTGGGGAGGTGGTTCCGCGCTGCCGACCCCCTGTGCATTTGTAGGCGCGATGAAGGGGTGTTCGCAGACTTCTCAGGATTCTGAAGGGGGCCCCCTCTGCTGAGCTGGGACTGACACCGCTTCCTGGCCTGGGCCCACCTGGAGCCCCCTTACAGACCACTCAGCTTCTCCCTCCGGAGGTTTTGTCCCCACCTGGTTCAGAAGCCCCTGTGTTGTCCAGGCGATTGTTGAGCAGTTTCCTGCACATAGTGCCACACACTAGCCCCGGTCTTTAAGCGGGAAAGTGTTTTCTGTCTTTTTTGGTCACCACAATAGCCACTCCCCACACGTGAGCCCCTGATGTGTCTAGACAGTGCAGACGCTACTGTTCCGAGAAGTGCAATCGGCTGCTGAGCTGGCAGCTGGCTCTGGCGTGTTGGCTGCCTGCTACGTGGGACTTGAGTGTCCTGGGGCCCGTTACATGCCCGGCCCTGAGCCTCGATGCTTTGTGAATGCCTGGGCGACTGCAGCACTGAGGGGCAGCGCGTAAATCCCCAGATGCCAGTGGGTTTGGGTGAAGCCAGCCCGTCCCCGTCGCGAGGGCGGAGGAGGCTGCTGCCCAGCCCGGAGCTGGCCCCAGCCCGGCTCGTTTTGCCCTCTGCAGGCCGAAGATCCAGTTCCAGGCTGTCCAAGAGAGAGGTGTCCAGCCTGCTCAGCTACACTCAGGTACTGGCTCCCTTCTGCCTTTTTCAGAGTTGAGGGGAATTTCCACTTTCATCAATGCTGAACCTGAGGCATACCGGACAGTACCTGTAAAGGGGACTTGCTGAGTGATGAGTCTGAATGCTGCCAGGCACACAGGCCTCAGCAGCCTCACGCATTCATACATGCCAAGGATTTTTTTGATGTCGTTAAAAAGTTACTTTAGTAATTATGAAGTTTTTTTTTTACTATATTCCCTGAGCCTAATTTGAAAGTTTTTTTAAAAAATAGTTTTATATATACAAGATGTGGGGTACAGGCCACAGATGCAGAGGATGAGAAGATTCACTAGAGACAGAGTGGGGAGCAGAACAGGCAGATTGCCTGAAATTCACTGCTGAGGGGAGGGGTACAAGACAGGAAAGGTCTGCTGCGCCATATGGGTCACCTCTCTGGCCAGCTGGGGATCCAAATTGTGCCACAGTGGCTGGCAGTAGTTTGATAATGCTGGGTCTTTAACCCCTACACCACCAGGGAGGCCCCTGTCATTACAGTTTTAAAGAGAAGGGAATGGACTCAGTCAAGGCCATGCCTAGCAAGTGCCAATCCAAGGCCTTCAGTGCCAGCAGGACCCCAGCTGCTGGGCAGTGGTTTGTGCAGCGAGGGGCCTGCAATCCGCGCCTAAGTGACTCAACCCTTGAAATTTCTGCCAGCTCACTGTGTCAGGAATTTCCCTCCTGAGACAGCTGTCCTGCCGTTTCTACCAGCCCCAAGCTGGGACCGCTGACCTGGTCTCCCTCTAGGTAGGCATTTGCTTTTCCTTGTATTTCTTGTTTCCAGTAACTTTCTCAGTCAGGTCTTGATTCCGTGACCCTGCGGCATGAGTGGCGTAGAGCCTTGCTGGAGCAAAACCAGGCAGTTGAAGTTATTTTTCCTTTGGACCAATACTGTGAATTTTTTCAGTACCACTCACTTCACCCTTCATTGGCTACATCTTCTAATGCTTCATTTATAAAGGATTTGACGGGGGATGGAGATGCAGATGAAGGTGAAGACGGAGATGGTTCAGATACGCCAGTGATGCCAAAACTTTTCCGTGAAACCAGGACTCGATCTGAAAGCCCAGCTGTAAGTTGCCCCAAACTCCTGCCCACAAACCTCACACTCACCCACATAGCAGCCTGTGTGAAAACAGGCCTTTTGTCTCTCTGGGGATGTGGACAAAATCTTTTGAAAGTGGAAAATGAGAGCAAGGATCAAAGATATCCTTGTGGGGGTTTTCTTGCTGATGAGTTCATTTTAAATGTTCTGGGAAACACTCTTGGGCCTACCCAGGGATGATGGTACAGGCGACGGCTCAGTGGCTTCTGATGTAGGGACGTCCTTCTGGGGTGACTCCCTCTTTGAGTTGAGGTCTGGGACTGGAAAGGCAGCCCCTGTGCATTCATTCCCAGTCCATCAGGGAGCAGCCTGGCCAGTACAGGTGCAGCTCAGGGTCACCTCTCTACCTGGTGTGTCTTCCCCCTGCACAGGTGGATGAAGATTCTGGTAACTTCTATCCTGGGTTAAATATGAGCTTTCATATGTAGTTTTGAACACAGGCCTGAAACACCCAAAAGTCATGCCATTTTTTATAAGATTTGTTATCTAGGCATGCAAGAACTAGGGTACAGGCCAAGGTTGCCAGGCTGAGGAGCAACCAGAGACAGAGTGGGGAGCAGAACAGGCAGATCCACTGAAATACACTGCTGAGGGGAGCAGTGGGCAGGTCAGGAGAGGTCTGCGGCGCCATGTGGGTCAGCTCCCTGGCTGCGGAGTACCACAGTGGCTGTGGAGAGCTTCGTATTGCTGTGAACTCCTTACACCACCAGGGAGGCCCAAGTTCGTGCCATTTTCAGGCAGATTCACTGAAATACACTGCTGAGGGGAGCAGTGGGCAGGTCAGGAGAGGTCTGCGGCGCCATGTGGGTCAGCTCCCTGGCTGCGGAGTACCACAGTGGCTGTGGAGAGCTTCGTATTGCTGTGAACTCCTTACACCACCAGGGAGGCCCAAGTTCGTGCCATTTTGAGAAAGAATGTTAGGAACGCCTCATTCAGTACTTCGTTCCAGAGAAACTCAATTGACCTAATAATACCTCTTTGGGGGATAAAAAGTTTGGTTTAGAGTCAGCTTGATTTCCCTTTCAACCCCATTTGTAGGTACCAGCTTCAGCTTCACTAGGCAGAGAGGGAGCGGACATGGATACAGCCTGCTTGCCTGGTAGACGGCCAGCCCTGTAGCCCTCCTCCCCAGCTCCAGAATCCCACTACCCGGGGGCTGGGGTGCGAGCTACTAGTACGAGCCTCACCCACGTGTGAGTGGCACCTGCAAGTGCCACCAAATGCCATCCTCTTGGCCCCCGCTGAGACCCCGTCACTGAAGACCCCACGCTGATCCTCTCTTGCTTCTAGGTCCGAACCCGAAACAGTGCCTCCAGCTGGGAGAGGCACAGGCCCTCCCCACGTTCCACCCGAGGCCGGCAGGGCCGCCATCACGTGGATGAGTCCCCAGCCCCCGTGGAGTTCTCGACTACCACCAGGGTTGGTTCCCGGCACAGACCCCCGCGCCTGCGTTCGGTGTGGGAAGGTCGGCCTCCCTCCGCCACCCAAAGTGGCCGTCTTATGTATAACCTGCTCCTTCCTTCACTCCGCCTGCTCAGGGCCTTGCCTGTCCTCTCCTGGGTGCTGGGTAAGCTTCTCTTCAGCCCGGCGCTTCTCTCCAGGCCCAATTGTGGGATGCAGGAAGTCCCCTTTGGATGGGGCGCTCATTCCCCTGGAAAGGAGCTCAGATCAAACTTGACATTCGGAGTTATGTTATCTCCATGGTGTCTACAGGCTGGAGGTGACCCTGGAGTCGTGGCCACCTTCCCCTCCTGTGCAAGGGTGGGCAGGACACAACAGCCCTGAAGTAAACCAGTGGGCCTCGCTGGTCTCGAACCCTCTCCACCTTGCTCTCCGTCGGTCCTTTGTCACTGACTGTTTCTTCCATCAGTTCCTTGTTCCTGGCAATCACTCTTGGTGTGGTTTCTGTCTTGCCTTAAGCCTTCGCTCTTTCTGCTCGGGAATCAGCTGAGGGTCACCAGTGGTTCTGGCCCCCGCCTGGTTGCATGGGTCCGAGCCCAGCTTGTGTCCTCTGTCCACAGTCCCTGCGGCGGCGGGCAGCGTCTTCAGCGAGCACACCGTGGCCGTCCCCCTCCAGCCCCTACCTCACCATTGATCTCACAGATGACGACGTGGTTCCTCAGAGCAGCAGCACCCCGTACACCCGTCTGGCCCAGGACAGCCAGCCGGAGACCCTGGAGTCCCCACAGGTGGACGTAGAGGGCAGAGATGCAGACAGCACCGAGTACCAGGTACCACTGGGGAGGGCAAGCCAGATGGACCCTGAGGCGCTGCGCAGTCTCTGCTGCACCTTGGTGGTGGTTTGTGACTTGTCACTGGAGATTTCCCAGTCTGCAGTGTGACCCTTCCTCCTTGACCCGTCTTTCCTCCCTGACAATCCTCAAGCACTGTGTTACCTGTTTACTGATTTTCTGAGTCTTCTTGCTTACACATACCTTGATGGATGCATACTTTGCTTGTATAAATCATCTGTGAGATGATCCTGTTCTATTTGACATGAATTACAGACAGCTTCTTCCTTCCCTATTATCTGATGTTTTGCTCCATCCTTATTTAGCCAAGGAGCTTCAGTTTCACGCACGTCTTGCTGTGTGTACTCGTGTATGTATGTCTAAAGCCTGGTTTCCAACATATTACATTAGCAGGTCACATGTTAGGGTGTGTGAAAGGTATGTGTAAATATATGTATGTGGGTATGTATATTTTTTAAGTTTATTTATGCTTTCAAGAGCTGAGCTATAATAGGCTAGAGATACAGGTGAGATTATCTCGAGACAGTAGGGAACAGAACAGGCAATCTATGGAAATACACTGGTGAGGGGTAACAGCGTTGAGACAGGAGTTCTGCTGTACCTGGCTGGCGGTGTAAGTCCTGCTGCATGACTGTCATACCTTCATAGGGATGAGACTTAACCCCTGTGCCACCAGGGTGCCCCTTAATCAGTTTTTGAGCCATGAGAAGTTAGAAATGATATTTCTGTTCACAAAGACCTCTGTCTGGTGTTGGTCCCTACAAAGCCTTGAACCCTGTCCTTAGAGGATCAGGGCTCTTTTCCTGCCAGGGTTCTGCCTCATTCCTTCCTGTGATTCTCTTCCAGGATGGGAAGGAGTTTGGAATAGGGGACCTCGTGTGGGGAAAGATCAAGGGCTTCTCCTGGTGGCCTGCCATGGTGGTTTCCTGGAAAGCCACCTCCAAGCGCCAGGCCATGTCGGGCATGCGGTGGGTCCAGTGGTTTGGTGACGGCAAGTTCTCAGAGGTGAGCTGATACAGGCTGCAAACCAGCAGTGCTCTGCTTTGCTTCCGTTCGTGAGCTTTTTTTCCACTCAAGATTTTATTTATTCATGCATGTGAGCTCTGGAGTATGGGCCAGAGGTGTGCGTTGGGAGGATACATCAGAGATAGACACTGGGAAGCAGAGTTGGGCAGATCTCCTGAAATACACTGCTGAGGGGAGCAGCAGGCAGGTCAGGAGAGGTCTGCTGTGCCTTGTGGGTCAGCTCCCCAGCCAAACCATTATACTGTTGCATAATGCTCAGATTTTAACTCCTGCTCCATCCAGGGAGGCCTGCAGTGGCTTTGAAGACAACAGCCTGGACAGCTTTTTCCAGATAAATAAGGGCATGTTTGAGATTGTTCAGAAGGAAAACAAACTCTGCCTGTGTTAAAGGCTTAGTCAGAAATGCGGGGTCTTGTTGGCCCAGAACAGTCTACTCTTCCAGGAGAAAGAGCTGGAAAGTCTTAGGCTGAGGCTCTTGTGTGTTATGATTTTATTTCTTTGTGTGTCCAGGGTGGATTCTGAGGAGTTAGACATGCCCTCAAAGGTGTCAGTGAAAACACCTGCTGCAGAGGGTCATTTTGTCCTCCTGAGCTTGGCAGTAAAGTATATCTTAGGCTGTTGGGTCCTGGTATCACCTGGCAAGTATTAAATAAAAGTTCTTTGCAGAGGTGGTGATTTCATTGCTTGTTGAAAATTGGTGTTGGCACTTTAAATTTTTGGTACTCCACTGGGTGAAAGCTGTGTCTTGTGCAAGGGGCTCTTCATTCTCATAGCCTGAAGGCATATTCTGAACTGCCCAAGGTTTGCCTCGTCCACTACACCCACAGTGCTCTGCCACAGTCTCAGAAATGATGGTCCTGCCCTAAGTAAATTTAGGGAGGATAGAAGCTGATCAAACTATTGTAGGACTTGACCTCAAGTTGAGTCTCTTCCCATGAATTGGGCTTCTGGCACATTTGCCACACATACACTGAGGTTCCCAAGGAAAACCACAGGACTCCAGCTTGTAGTACCATTAATTCTGCATGCTATAGCCCTACTTAGCCAGCAGGGGGAGCAGAAAGAAATCCTGAGATCACATTGCCCTGGAGCTACTAATTGTAGAGATGGGGCAAAGGCTTCAGGAAAATGAAAACAGGGTTGTTTGTAATTACATTGACCCAGTGAAACATAAATGTACTTTGTAAGACTGGGTCTGATGCTAATAAGGTGAAGGGTGGGCTGCACATGTAAGGGGTGGGTTACAAGATGTGACCTCTTCTTTCACCGGGCCAGTTGATAACATGAGACACAGGAACTGCACCTGCATTTCAGTGTCCCACAACATTGCACCCTGGCCTTTCCAATGGGTGTCACCTCAGCATCAGTTAGGCTTCCAGGTTCAACTTGGAGGTGCATGAGTGTGAGCACACATAGCAAAGAAGGAAGCAGACATCTCATGTCCAGTTCCATAAACACCCCTGGAGTTTCCTCTCTACCCAACGACAGCCCAGTTGGGTCCTTCATGGCCTTGGGGACAAGGAGCCAAAGATTTATAGAACTAAAAACTACTTAAGTCTGCAAAGTTCTGTTCTTTAAACATAATTACATTAGCTCAAGTAATGAAAGATTTAATACTCAAGTCTTTCAAAGACTGCTATTTGTCCATGAAGGAGGAACTTGTGCAAAATCACCAATTTTGGAGAATCTTCATGAATTTCAAGATAAAGCCATACCGGGGACTACCTGCTTTTTGCTTCTAGAATACAGATTAATGCAGGGTACATCTAACAGGTATTGCAAGGGCCACTTACTATGTTTCAGGGTCACTGGTGCTAGTTACAGTATACTTTCGTGTTTAGTATTATACAATTTGCTTTTTTCCCCTTTTGAATCTGAGAACTTGAACTGCAGGACCCTCAGACAGTCTGTAGCTGGATACTGACGATGACTTTGTCTTCTAGGTCTCTGCAGATAAGCTCATGGCCCTGGGACTGTTCAGCCAGCACTTTAACCTCGCCACCTTCAACAAGCTGGTCTCTTACAGAAAGGCCATGTATCACGCCCTGGAGGTAATGTAAAAGTGGGTGCAGGGGCCGGCCTGGAGGACAGTTACTGCGAGAACAGCCAGCTTCGGCCACCCGGTCGCCATGTGGCAAGCATGGCTGGGGAGGCTGACAGACTCCTTCCTTTGAGGAATGTGGTTCCAGGTCAATACTGGTCAGCCACTGAGGCCAGCTGCTTCTATTCTCCTTGGCAAGGGCCGTGGTAATCTGAGATACATTATGCTGTGTCCTATTGATGTAGGGACTTGACCAGTGGCTTTAGTCCAACATTTATAAGCCCTTGGCTTAATTAGACATGAATATCTTTTTGGATGCTTGTAATAACAGGATTTATTGCAGGATACCTCTCCATCTTAACTAGGCAAATGGATAAGCAATCTGGGGCATTTCTAAGAGGTGATCAAACGGCTGGCTGAAGCTTCTCTTATAAAAAAATGGCAGAACTAGTTCTGATATGCCCTTGGAGAGGAGCTGACCATTCACATTCCTTTCAGGGAAGAGGTCATGTCATGTTTGTTGATGCCTGCAAAGGCTCCCTCTCCTTCCATGGCCTCTTGCCTGTCTCCTGCATGGGCCTCCTTTCCTTGCACTCCAAGTCTAAGACAGCTGCCTCCTGTGAAAGTCCCAGTGTGAACAGGGAGTCTGCGCTCCAGCAGGGGGACCCCTGGGTACAGTCTGGTCAGCACCCAACCTTCCTACTGAGCAGACTTCATCTTATCTTGCAGAAAGCAAGGGTGCGGGCTGGCAAGCTGTTCCCCAGCAACCCGGGAGACTCCTTGGAAGATCAGCTGAAGCCCATGCTCGACTGGGCGCATGGGGGTTTCAAACCCACCGGGGTGGAGGGCCTCAAACCCAACAACAACCAAACAGGTGGGTGTGGGTCCCCGTGACAGCCACTGGCAGATGGAGGTGTACCCCCGGGAGACACAGCTGCTTCCCTGGGAGCCCCTTATTTCTTCCCAGCTTTCCAATGGTCAGTCAGACTGGGCACACCCTCTTACCTGGGGCTCCTCAGGGTTCCAGGAAGACAAACAGCCTGGCCTATATCCTGCGCATTTTCCTAGCAGTTTTTTTCTTTGAGGAAAAAAGTTCTTATTGAGAAAGTGGGCAGTAGTTTAAACTGCAAAGCCAAGCCACCCGGAAACCACCCTAATGTTCTAGCCGATACTATCATTCCTCCATTAAAAGACAGACCGATGGGCACATTGGCCCTCCTAACACCCCACATTTGTCTGACAATCCGTACATTTAACAGTGTTTTCTGTTTCATTTTGTTTTCCTCCCAAAAAAGTGAATAATAAGTCGAAGTTGCGCCGTGCAGGCAGTGGGAGCTTAGAACCCAGGAGACACGGTACCTCTCGCGATGCTCCTGCGGCCTCTGCACCTCCTTTCTGTTCCTTGGCATATCCTGGTGGCTGGGAAAATCCAACCTGTTCATGAACTCACCTACCCTGCACTCCCAACCCTCACGCGGCCTTCAGGCTGACCTGACTGGGTGCACTTCTGCTCTCGGGACACTGTTGGATTTCTGCTTTCCCCTCTTTTCTCAGTATCATCTCAGATTGGTTCACTGAAGGATGCTTGATTTCCTTTTTGATGACTGCATCGTTTTCTCTCCTAGGAGCAGTGTCAAATTGAACCGTGTCCCTTGTAGATGATGCTGAATCTTTGAATAAGCATACAGATGAAATTGATAGAAATAAGAAAAGATTCTTTCACATTTCTCTAATAACCAAATTAAAAATTTTCTAATAGCTACATTAAAGAGTAGAAGAATTCTATATTTAATTCAATCCAGTATTTCCAATTTGTTTGCATTTCCAGTCTCTGAGAAGTTGAGATTTTAGTTTCTTTTTCATATTTACACAATTTCGTCTATTTTACTCAACTTACAATAAACCTTGATCTGGTTGCTAAATTTCATGGGAAATAGTTGATCTAAATTATTGTGAGTATTTAGGTTGTTTCCCTGAGCTAATAAACATCAGCTGACAGCTTTAAAATTCACAGCAAAATACAATGGAAGACTCAGCCCATCCCAAAATGCACGTTTCAGGTTCCCTTGCGTGGTTCTCTCTGCACGGCCTGCCTGGCCAGCAGGATGTCAACCGTAGATTCAGCTTGTCTAGTGTTCTTGTACTGAGTTTAAGAAGTGGCTCTTCTGTATTTCAAAAGCCGTGTAAAACCCTGCATATCTGGGCAGAGGCGAGGGTCTAGTAGGCTGTGACCGTTGACAACACCGCACAGGGCCCATCCTGCCCAGTTGCAGCCGGGTACCTTCCTAGGGTCACTCTGTCTGCCAAGCCAGCTCCCGTCACTGCCACCTTCTTATATTGCGCAGAGAACAAGACACGAAGACGCACCACAGAAGACTCAGCCACCTCCGAGTACTGCCCCCCACCCAAGCGCCTCAAGACCAACTGTTATAACAATGGCAAGGACCGAGGAGAGGAAGACCAGAGTCGAGGTGATTGTGGGGACGGAGGGCACTGAGGACCCCTGGTCTGGGAGGTGCTGAGGGTATCCAGGGAAGGAAATAAGCTTGAACCTCAGCTCACAACTTCTTTTCTCAACAGAGCAAATGGCTTCAGATGTCACCAACAACAAGAGCAATCTGGAAGGTATAGACTCCTCTCTTGTCCTGGGTGGTGCTCAGACCTGCCTTGTCCAGCTTGGGCTGCCCTGCTGGGTTTAACCCCTTGCTCAGGTCAAGGTGTTAACCCCTTGCTTCATGTCAAGGTGTGGGCATTTATAAAGCAGCTACCTTTTATAGATGTTAACCCAATTTTGGCTGAGACTGCTTTTGACCCTAACCGAAGTGGACTGGATGTTGGTTAGAGTTATGTGAACCAGGACAGCTCAGCTGGGAAAAAACCCAAGCTGGGAAACTGTGACCAGAGGCACCCACCAGTCAGCCCCAGCATGAGCTGAGATGGCTTTGAGCTAGAAGGGAGACACACTTGGCATCACTTTCTCTTCAGTCCAGCCAGTCTGCTGCCTGAGAATCCCACTGGATTCAAACTCTCAGTTGCATTGAAAAGAATTTGGAATATGCCAGGAGGGAACTTTCTCTTCAACATTTTTTTAAAAAAAGATTTATTTATTTATTTATGCATATAGAACTAGGGTGCAGGCCAGAGGTACAGGGGTGGTGAGAGGATTCACCAGAGACACAGTGGAGCAGCATAGGCAGATGGACAAAAGTACACTGCTGAGGGGACTAAGGAGCAGCACAGGGGAGGTGTGCAGTGTAATGGGGGTCACCTCTGGGGTGGAGATCAAACTGACATTGAAGCAGCTGAGGCTAACTTACAATGCAGCACGTTAACCCTTTAGGCCTAGCTTTTCTTTTTAAAAGAATGATTTACTCAGTTATAGAAAAGCTGGGGTGAAGGCCCAGAGGGCCTAGGGATGAGAGTTCACCAGAGACAGAGCAGTGAACAGAAAAGGCACACTGACTGAAATACACCGCAGAGAGGGGCAGCAGGCAGTTCAGGAGAGGTCTGGTGCCATGTGGGTCAGCTCCCTGGGATGACAGTAGCTTGATGGAGCTGTGTCTTTAACCCCTGCACCACCAGGGAGGCCTTGCTTCAGTTCCAGTTACCTATTGAGTATGGCTCAGGGCTGGTAGGCAAACCACCCTGGGAAAGCTTGGGTTAGGAGCTGTGCCCGGTGACCCAGGCAGCTTTGCCACTCACTCTCCCACCCCTGCCTACCTGGCCATTGTTGACAGTGAGCCCTCACCTGATAGAGAGTAGAGGCAGGCTCTTGTCTAGCTATCATGGTTGTGGAGTTTGTCCTATGTCTTCTCAGAATGAATAAGAAATTTAGGGTCACCACAGAATTGCTGAGGACCCAGACTTACAAGAATTGCGAAGATTTTGAAGGAAGGGCTTGCAAGACCAGCCTCTGCTGGAGGAGGCTGTGTTCTTGGCTGTGCTCCACTTTTAATTGCTGACCATCCAGCGAGGGTATTGTTGAGCAGAAGAACACCAAGAGGGCTGCCTGGCACAGGGCTTGCATGGGACGCCAGTCAGGGCTCGAACTCTGGCTGCAGCTTCGGATGTGGGTCGGAGTTTCCACGGCAGTTCCCTGTCTGTCTTACAGATAGCTGCTTGTCCTGTGGTAGGAAACACCCCGTGTCCTTCCACCCTCTCTTTGAGGGTGGCCTCTGCCAGACTTGCCGGGTAAGTCCTCCCCTCTGCCACCCTGGAGTGAGCCCTGCCCCCGCCTTCTGTGTCACCCGCATCCTGTCACTGACCAGAGCACCTGCCTGTAGCCATTAAAGCGGCCTGCTGAGGCCTTCTGGGCGCGGCCTCCACCTCTCAGCAGAAGGGTGGGGAACAGGTGCTGCCTCTGAGGCCCTGCCCGTGGGCCCTGCACCGGGCACCAGGCCACTGTGACAGCGCCCGGGACCTTGTCTCAGCCAGCGGATGGGCGCGGCTTGAGGCGCTGGCTGACTCCAGGGTCTCTGCCGCAGGACCGCTTCCTGGAGCTGTTCTACATGTACGACGACGACGGCTACCAGTCCTACTGCACCGTGTGCTGTGAGGGCCGCGAGCTCCTGCTGTGCAGCAACACCAGCTGCTGCCGGTGAGGCCCGGACCGGCCCCACGGGGCAGCGGGGAGCCACGTCGGGCGGAGGTGCCAGGGCGGCCCCGCGTCTGGGCTCCGGTTGGGCCCGGCCGCGCATGGCAGCCCCTGGACAAAGGCCAGACAGGGTGGCTGAGAGGCTCCCCTGCAGGGCGAGTTGGTCCTGGGCATGCGCAGTGGGCAGGGCAGGTGGCTTCCCCAAATCACAGCTTGTTCCCCTGAGGGAGAGCAGTCGCCCACTGGAGTGTCCCGCGCGTCTCCCCCGGGAGCGGCGGTGAGCCCTCTGCTGTCCTGCAGGTGCTTCTGCGTGGAGTGCCTGGAGGTGCTGGTGGGCGCCGGCACGGCGGAGGGCGCGCGGCAGCAGGAGCCCTGGAGCTGCTACATGTGCCTGCCGCAGCGCTGTCACGGCGTGCTGCGGCGCCGCCGGGACTGGAGCGTGCGCCTGCAGTCCTTCTTCACCAGCGACACCGGGCTCGAATACGTAAGCCGGGGCGCGCCGCCTTTGGGCCTCGGGCTCCCCGAGAGAGAGGGACTAGCAGACTTAGCCCGGAGGCTCAGACTGGACCCCCTGCAGCTCGCTCCCTCTGCGGGTCCTCCCATCCCTTCCTCTTGGCCTCTCAAGGACACTCAAGGGCCCAGTGAGTGTTGTAGAATGAAGTCTTCTGAGCCAGGGACAGGAAGGAGGGGCTTGGGCACGCATGCTCAGCCCCTTTCCAGTTTCCCTGGGGGGAGCCCCGCCCTCCTGTGGCAGGAACGTGTCTCCGTGTGCGTGTACACATCTGTTTCAGTCTCACTGTGCTCCGTGTCAGAAAGGCCAGACTGCCCACTCTGCCAGGGCGCGGGTGCAGGCGAGGGCCCGAGATGGCCGAGTGCGGGCTGGGCTCCCTCGGAAGGTCAGCCCTCCCCTCCTGCAGAGGCGGTGTCTTCCTCCCCCTTCACTGACCTCCGTGACCTTCTCCAACATGGCAGGAAGCCCCCAAGTTATACCCCGCGATTCCTGCAGCCCGAAGGCGGCCCATTCGAGTCTTGTCCCTGTTTGATGGCATTGCGACAGGTGAGTCCGAAGTTCCCTTAGGATGCTCACCTGGTACGGGTGTTTGTCCGCAGTGACCAGAAATACTCCTGAGGTGATCTGTTTGTCACCTGTTCTCAAGAAACCTATGGCTCCTTGATTCTCAAAACTCCCATTTTACCTAGCTGACCCTCTGAATCCTTGAAAAGACAAGTATGTCTTAGCTGTTGTATTTGATTTTATTTGTGTAGGTATCTTGGAAAATTATTCATTCCTTGAGCATAGCATGTGAGATAGTGCAGGGTAGTTAAGCAACTCCGCCAGTGTCTCTAGTCTCTGTTCCCATTCGCTGAGGTCTTTCCATGGAGAGAATAAGCACACAAGACGTGCATATATGTCTGCCCTTGAGGCTTTGTCAGTTCAACTGGCTCAGTCCCAGGAGCTGAGTCCTAGTAGCTGTTTCTCCAGAGCAGGCAGAGTGAATGGGCTGCTTAAAAGCTTGTCATCATTTGTGTGTGTGGGTGTGTGTGTGTGTTCCAGTGTCCACCTACCTGAAAGATTCACCACTTTAATGATGGCTCAGGTTGTGGCCACTGATTATGCTCTCCGCTCTGGCTATTCTGTGTCATCACATAATCTATAGTAAAATGAGACCTCCACATGTCCCTCAGTCCTTAGGGTTCTTGCCTAAACAGGGATCTCTTAAAGATCCATGCCCATTGCCTGGACTCGCGTGCAGCTGGGTATTGGCTGTGCACCTTTCACTTTGAGTGGATTTCCCCAGTGGGTGCTGCCCAGTTGAATCATTTTCCTTTACAAAACCCTGCACTCTGGAGTTCTCAGTGTCTAGGAGAACAAGTTCTGTGCCCTCTGCTGGGTCTCACTTGATTCTCACTTGCCTCGCTGGGCCTGAGCTGAGTCCTCACTGTGGTTTAGGGCACTAGAGGGAGGGGCCTGTACAGAACAACTCTGGATTCATTTTCTGTCTCTCTAACTTCCCACAGGATACTTAGTCCTCAGAGAATTGGGCATTAAAGTGGAGAAATACATTGCCTCCGAAGTATGTGAAGAGTCCATTGCCGTGGGAACCGTCAAACACGAGGGCAACATCAAATATGTGAATGATGTCAGGAACATCACAAAGAAAAATGTGAGGGCAGCCTGTGTGCATCTGTGGCTCTGTGGCACCCTGCCCGCCTCTGCCTCTTGAGCCCCTCCCCTCGTGCCCTTCCTTGTGTCTGGCATCTGGGAGGGACAGCCGTGGTCACATCAAGCTCTTGTGCCAAGATCCACAACTTGTACACGTCACCCAGCTTGACTACATCCTAGGATTCCCGAGCATGGTGTTGTCTTGCGTCGGTTCAGAAATAGGGACCTTAGTCACCAAGCTGGACTCTAGCTGTGATAAACTTAGCATCCCCCCCCCCCCGCGCCGACGGCGTCCTGGCGTCCTGGCTGGGCTTCGCGCGAAAAGGCTGCGGGAGCGCAAGGTCACCTGGCCCCCCCCCGCGCCGCCCCGGCCCCCTGCCCTCTCTGAAATACGACTGCTCTTCTCCAGATTGAAGAATGGGGCCCCTTCGACTTGGTGATTGGTGGGAGCCCATGCAATGATCTCTCAAATGTGAATCCTGCCAGGAAGGGCCTGTATGGTGAGCATCCCTTCCTTTTGATCATCCCAAGAGATTCTGAGTCAAGTGACATTTCCAGGGGAGCAGCCTGAGAAAGTGCTGCTTGCCCTCTGGCCGTTCATAACCTGTCAGCACTGTCCATGTCCCACTGTGACTCCTGTCCCAGAGACCCTGGTGAATGTCACATCGCTGATGTTCTTGTCTTGGAGTCATCCCAACATAAACCAGAACATCAGTCTTAGGTTGTCCTCAGAAACCCATTGGTTTCAGTATGATGGAGGGTGGGGTGACAATTTTGAACATGTTCTGTGGTCTTGTTTTTGTTACCTCAGAGGGCACTGGCCGGCTCTTCTTTGAATTTTACCACCTGCTGAATTACACACGCCCTAAGGAGGGTGATGACCGGCCCTTCTTCTGGATGTTTGAGAATGTCGTAGCCATGAAGGTCGGCGATAAGAGGGACATCTCCCGATTCCTGGAGGTAAGGAGACCTGAGGGTGCTGCTTGTCAGGACATCCTGGGTGGGGAAAGGCCCGCTGGCTGGAGGGTGGTGTTGCCAATGTTGGGGTTTCCCAGTTCTTGATGAGACATGACAATCAAGGGAGTGGAAGCAGAGGAGAGGTGTGCTGTGGGTCAGCTCCCTGACTGGGGATTGAACCCAAGCTACAGCCGCTGGCAATAGCTTAGCAACAATGAGACTGTAAACCCAGTGCCACTGGGAAGGCCACGCCCTGGCTCTTGCCAGTTTTTCCCCTCATTTTTGTTCTGAGAGCTGCAGACGTAACAGTCACCGACACTGCTTAATTACACCTTGAGCAGTCATAAATGCTTTTAATGCACTTACCTCACTTAATTTCCCCCTAAATTTTATAGTCCGTGCTCTAACAGATTATAGATCTCAGTTACTTCTTGCCACCAAATGGGTGGCACAAGCCACATTCTGCCAACACTGCATTTCCATAAGCAGTCTTTCCAGATTGAAAGAGGAGATTTTTTACCACTTTCTCGCTGCACATTCTGCTGTCCCGGGGATACCCTCTCTCAGCTGCATGTCTGATCTGGTCTTGCCCCCTATGAATGTGGGCGTGCTCTGGCTTCATCCTCAGCTAGATCCTTGATGGGGCTGATACCCTTCTGTCAATAGCCAGGTCACCTCCGCAGCCAGTGGCAGCCCTGTGCCACCCAGGTGAAGTCCCATTCTGTCTACTGCTCTGAATTCTGAGTGGGTTTTTTTTTCTCTCGCCAGTGCAATCCAGTCATGATCGACGCCATCAAAGTTTCTGCTGCTCACAGGGCCCGATACTTCTGGGGCAACCTGCCTGGGATGAACAGGTAACTTGGGCTCAGAGTGGACAGGTAATAGGCAAGTTAAGCACAGCCAGTGTTGACCTTACCGTGGATTCATAGGACATTCTCTCAGCTTCCAGAAGGAGCTGGCTGTGCTGAGTAACAGCCTCCTGGGCTTTAGCCCTGCCCTTGGTGATGTGGGCTGATGCCTTTCAGGATGTGCTGGGACCGCATGGACCTTCAGGCCAGGACGCCTAGAGGACTCATGAGTCTCTACTAGCTTCTGCCTGTTTCTTATAGAGCCAAGTGCTGGAGCAGATCATCTTTCCAAAGCAGGGTGCTCTTGCTCCCACAGCCCCCCCCCCCCGTCTGTTGTTCTGTGTGGGGATTGACTGAGCTGTCTTTGTTCCATGCCCCGGTGCTGCATGTCTGTGGTAACCAACACATGGCAGAGCTGAGGAGACGATGAGTCACCCACAAGCTCGCTCTCCCTCGTGTTAATCAAGCGCTTCCCCATATTCCCGTCAGTCCTTTCATGGTGAACACCACAAAGTAGCTTTGCTGAGAATTCTCTCCTATGTGTGGTTTTGGGGGAGATACAAAATGTGAGGTTGCGTTGATACCCCAGACTTGTAAATGAGTCAAGCATAGAAAAATTAGCCTATAGTAGGAAGTGTTGGAAGCATAAGAATTCTGGCATTTAGGAACTGAGGACAGAGGTGAGAACATACTAGAGTATACTGGAGGGTATCTTGGGGAAGCTGGCAGTTAGACTTATTTCTTCAGCCAGTTGGCTGGTGTTTGTCATGCCTGGGTGAGACGGGCTCACAGAGCGCTCTGGCCCTTGCTATGCAGGCGCTGTTGTGACAGTTGCCATCTCAGTGTGAGCTCGTCAGAGACTGGTCCTACCTGGGGCGTTGACGAGTTCAGAAGACAGTGAATGATCTCTGGGTCATGTCTTGGTTCAGACTGTGTCCGAGCAGGGCTCGCCTTCTTTGGGAGAGCATTCCAGGTAGAAGAGAGAGTAAGATGCGACAGTGACAGAACAGTGTTGGGGTTAAGACAGAACCCTGAAAGACAGGGCTGGCGAGGGGGCCAGTCAGTGGCTGGGAACCTCACAGGAGGTTTAGGCAGATGAATTGTCTTAGGTTCATGATACTTTCTGGTAAAAGGGAAAAGGAATGGGGAGACCAGTGAGGCACTGAGGAAGGAGGCTGGCTGCACAGGTCAGTGGGCCTCTCCCTGGGGCGTGGGGACTTCTGTGCACTTAGCAAAGAAGGAATTTGATTCTAGGACTCAAGCATTTGTTGATGTCCTGGATGTGGTCAGTGTGAGATGAAAAGGGTCAGGGAAGACAGACAAGATTTGCAGCCTGGTTTGTTTTAAGATTTGATTTCTACTGCTCTTCTGTTGGCTCCGACAGGAGGGTGGTCAAACACCCACCAGGCTGTAGACCCTCAGAGCCTTCAGTGCAAGCTTGTGTGTTTCAAGGGCTAATCTAGAGTCAACACGCATGAGGCCTGTCCTGTGCCCCCGGGTCTCTTAGCTCCCTGGGGCATGTAAGGAGATGCTAATGGTCCCTGGTGAACATTTGAATCCTGAAGGGATCTAAGGGAACATTTCATGGGGATTTCCAGTCCCCCCTTGGGCAGGGTTTCATCTCATTTGTTTTTGGCCTTGAAGTTTCTTACTGTCAGGGATGGCTGTAATTCATCCACTCTGATTCAGACCTCTTGCGGCTTTTCTGCTCTGGTACTGCTTAGCACTTGAGTCTCTAAATGTTCTGTTCCTCCCCCCTTTGCAGGCATCTCTTTGCTTCTTTGCATGTGCAGATTTCAATGGTGTATGTTGCAGGACAGCTAGTCCTGGTGAACTGCCTCCTGTCCTACCTACATGTTGACTCACTTGGTCCTTAAAACCTGAGGCTATCCCCTCAGAAGTCAGCCACCAAGTGATGAGTTGGATATGCAAATTGGGTCAGGTAGGGAGACACATAGGATGTAATAAAAGTTGAGGCAGGAGACCCACACTTTGTTGGAAGTCATCGCATGCCAGTGCCTTGAGGCTGGACTCAGGCTTGACCTGGCTCCTTTCTGTGTGCACACCTCCCACTCCTCCCCCTAGGTCTCACGCGCTCCTCAGCGGTAGCGCTAAAGTAATAATGACATTTGGGGTAGGTGAGCTTTTGCTTCTTCTGGACATCGAGCTTGTCCACCTCAAGGGGCCCGTTCAGTCTCCGGCCACCACACACAGGCTTACGCAGTGCCATTCTCATCATGTATTTGTAACAAGTTCACTGCCAGAGCACATTTTGCAGCTTAAGGTCCTTACTCCCACTTTGCAAGGCGCCCAGCTGAGGCCCCTTTGCAGATGGTAGAAAGTAATGGGTTTTGGCTGTTCCCAGGCCCGTGATAGCATCAAAGAATGATAAACTCGAGCTGCAGGACTGCTTGGAGTTCAATAGGACAGCAAAGGTAAGAGGTGCTCACCACCGTCTGTACTGGTACCTTCTGGGACATGCACTTGGTGACTTCCAAGCTGGGACTCGACCTTGGTCCCACTTGATCTTGCCCCTCTCCCCACATAACTCCTGGGTGCTGGGTCTCTTTCACTATGTGAACACTCTGTCCCCTCTTTAAATGCATAGAGGAGGAGAGGTTCTCAAGGAGCAAGTAATCCCTAAGGAAGGCAACCGAACTCTCTAGTTGTAAAAGCACATTCCAGAGTCACACATCTGTCAGCTGGGCCTCTCAGTAAGACATGAGTAATTAATGAGGAGTTAATACTTATGCCCCCCATAATAATAATGACGTCCATAGAATTCTCAGTGCTCACACCAGAGAAGCCCCATTCATTCATCCTCTAGAATATGAACAGATGTTTACTTGCTTTTTTGCTCCATCTTGTTTGGTCAGTAACTGTTGCCTTGGCCCTTCACGGTCCCTGGATCTCTGGCTCGCGCTGAGGCTTGACCCTTCCTGTCCTTTAACTTCATGGCTTTTGCGGGAAGCACAGAATGTTCTTGTCCCCGTCCTTCTCATTCCCTCTGCCAGCCCAGCCTGGACCCTTTCTCCCCCACGCCCTGCCTGCCTCCAATCCACAGCGCTCCTGAGTCCCGCCACCAGCCCTTCATTCTGTGCTCACTCCATGATGTCGTTTTGTTCTCCAGTTAAAGAAAGTACAGACAATAACCACCAAGTCGAACTCGATCAAACAGGGGAAAAACCAACTTTTCCCTGTTGTCATGAATGGCAAAGAAGATGTTTTGTGGTGCACTGAGCTAGAAAGGTGAGCAAGGCTGCCCATGGAGAGGGAATCATGCAGATAGAGAAGAGGGGAAGCCGCCCGACTGGCTGTGTCTTTCCTGCCTCCTCCCTGCCTGTTTGCAGGCTGGGAGTTCTGCCCTCTGAGTCGGTCTTACTTCCTGCTAGAAGCAGCAGAAGGGTGGTGGTGGTAGGAATCTGGAACACGATGGCATCAGCCAGCACCGTCTCGGCTATGCTCTCCCAGTTCTTGCCTGCCCCGACGTGCTGGGGACACTGGGATGCAGCTCAAGAAAGCCCCATGACATGCCATTGCGCTTGCTCAGAAGATCCCTTTCGCCGAGGTGCTGGTGCTGTTGGCGCTGCTGCTTAGCTGCAGTCTGTCTGTCCTTCCCCACCTCGGCTAAGGTGGTTGTAGATATCCGATTCAACAACCAGCTTGTAGATCTCAGTTCTCCTATTATGGTTTATACTTTTTTCTTACTTTTTGTTTTTCTTATTTTGTTCTTATTTTCTTGCCAGAAATGTAGTCAAGGGCTATGAATATTCTTCACATTCTTGGGTATGTCTCAAAGGATTTGCTGGCGTATATGCATTCTAGATGTTTCAGTCCTATAACCAATTTTACTTCTTAGCCTTTAACAGCTTTTGGTATCAAAAACAGTTCCGATTAGTAGAGAGAAGCCGGCGTGTGACCTTGCCTCTCCGTTCATGCTGCTGTGGCTCATGCTGCACTTTAGTCCTGGGTTGACTTGGGATTTGAGGCTTGGCTGTTGGCTGTCATGGAGACCAGGCAGGACACAGCCCCCCCAGGGTTTGCATCTGTGGCTGCTGCTTAACACCCACACAGCTGTCCACCCACTGGTGTGAGTTTTAATATTAATTGTGAACCTGGGGAAGCAGCAGCCCCAGTATATCTGGAGCCTCTTCACCAAGCCTGGGGGAAACTCCCGAGCAGGCCCTTGGCATATTAGCTGCCATCTGCCACTAAGGCCAGTGTGGCTTCTGCCAAGTGTGTTGGAAACTGAAAGAAAATGCAGGCTGCTTCAGTGTACTCCCAGTAAATTACATGAGCATCTGATGATTAAAAAGGTCTCTTTCTGCAAGAGTCCTTGTTTCTTATGAAGAAAATTGTCTAACTTCACCATCGTGCATTTGGAACAAGATACGTGTCTGTCTTGGCTGTCTGTCTTAGCAATCTCTTTCTCACCGGAGAGATACCCACTGAACACCAGCTCTGTGCCAGGGTGTGTGGTGCTAGTGCCTGGGGAATGCCCGGAGCAGGTGCCCTCAGGATAGTCACCTGTGTTCTGAAGAACCGGAGGACTTAGCCTGGCGGGGCTTGCAGAGAGGGCTCACGTGGAGGCCTGGGGAGACAGGACGCAGCGTAGAGAGCAGCACTGTGCTGACTGGTGAACCTCTCCCAGAAGTTCCTGGCTGCTGGAGGGGGCACTTCTGACCTCCTGTCTTTTTACTCTGGTGCCCCTCCCCCCAGGATCTTCGGCTTTCCCGTACACTACACAGATGTGTCCAACATGGGGCGCGGTGCCCGCCAGAAGCTGCTCGGGAGGTCCTGGAGTGTGCCAGTCATCCGACACCTCTTCGCCCCCCTGAAGGACTACTTTGCCTGTGAATAGTTGCCCAGGCAGGCGGGGCGCCTGGGGCCCTGGGTGTGCCAGGGCAAGCCAGCACCCAGGAGCTGCTCCCGGGCCCCGCCTTCGTCTGCCCAGCTGTGTGGTGCCGGCCAGAGCAAGTGCCCTGGGCTGACCTGGCGGGGGCAGCCGACGGGCCACCTCCCTCTGCACAGTTCAGACCTGGCTGCTCAAGGCAGCCAGACACGGTGCTCATTTTGTTTTCTAAAACTTTGAAACTTGAAGTAGTTAGAAGATGGCTTTTTCCCCCTCCCGGGTTTTACTGCTCAGTCACAGTGGCTAAGACACCACAACCACAGTGCCGAAGGCTCGCCAGCACTCAGGCTCATGTTGGAAAGTCAGCCCAGACAGGTATGGCAAGACTAAGTTTTTTAGAAGGCCTGTGGTTTTTAAATGTCTGCTGCCCCTTGTTTCCTGGAGCAGGGAGGAGTAAGCCAGTAGCTAAGGAACAACTTCAGACCCAGGGTGCTTTTTGCCTGGGGTAGCAGAAGAGGAAATGACAACTATGTCTGTGTTGAAGTTCCCTCACGGAGTTCCCCTTGCCTCAGACAGGGCTGGGTGCAACGTGGAGGCCCACTGAGGCGTTTCCACAGCGATGATGATTTCAGCAGGGATGACATCATCATCACATTCAGGGCTATTTCTTACCCCAGACAGGTCAGGGCTACTCTCAGCTGAAACCCTCCCAGTGACTGCAATGGACCCCTCAGGGAGCTCAGGAAGGGGTGGGGCAGTCAGGAGATGCCCAGGGTTGGCTTCTCTCTGTCCTTCCCCAAGTGACTGGAGTGAAGGAGGCTTAGGTGAAGGCCCCCCCCCAACCTACCCCCACAAGGCACCCTCCAGACCTCCAGGCACAAGTCCCCAAATGATGACATCCTAAGTCCTCAGCCTTTTTGTAAACTGAGAAGCAGTGACCGCCAGGGCCGGAAACACCCCGCCAGGGCCGGAAACACCCCTCGCACTCCCCCTCATCTAAGATGGAAGGGTGAAACTGCAATATGAGTGCGGCCACCCCTCCAGAGGTTTTTAAAGTCCTTTTTTATTCCATAAGTCGTTTTTAAGGGGTGGGGAGGTCAGAGAAGCTGCATTTCAGAAATGCTGCTGTAATGGTTTTAACACCTTTTACTCTTCTTACTGGTGCTATTTTGTAGACTAAGGAACAAAGTCAAGTTTCGTGGGAGTTTTTTTTACATTTTTTTTTAAAACTCAGACTTCTATTTTTATGTTTAAACATTTTCATAAAAAGTTTTTGTAACTGGAGCACGTAACAAGTGGGGAAAATTGTGCCTTGTCTCAACAGTTTTGCTAGGCTGAGAGATGACGGATGCCTAAAGTTTACCTTATGTTGAATTAAAACCAGTATTTCTCTTAACAGCCTGGTGTCCCTTTTGTTCTTCTGCAGGTCAGAGGGGTGGTGTGGGGCCGGACCTGGCTAAGGTGGGGAAGGTGGGTGATGGCAATAGACTGTTAATGGCCACAGAGTGGGCATTGCGTGGTGGTCTCCAGCAATGCTGTCCATCCCCCGGCCACCCAAGCTGCAGATCAGCTTCCCCTGCGAGGCTTTTGTTAAGAGATTTGTTTTTCTTTATGCAAGCAAGAACTGGGGTGTAGGCTAGAGGTGGGGGGGGTGAGAGGAGTTACCAGAGACAGTGGGAGAACAGGTGGATCTACTGAAATACACTGAGGGCAGCGGTGGCTGAGACAGGAGAAGTCTGCTGTGCCATGTGGGTCAGCTTCTTGGCAAGGAAGCATGGGGATTGAGCTCAGACTTGATAGTACTGAGGCTTGAACCCCTGCTTCTCCAGGGAGGCCCCAACCCTGGGATGCTTTTGCAAGGAGTCTGCTGGGGCCTGCCTCCAGAATTTGCATCTGACCACCCTTGGCTAGTGAATGCCTTCCCAAACCCCGAGTGTTTGTGTTCATTAAAGGCTGATGTCTGGGACAGTCATGTTCAGACTGTTTCTTAAAGCTCTTGGGTAGCTGATTAAGATAATTAACCACTCAAGAATCCCAGGGCTAATCCTCGGAGTTCCTGTGCCTCTGGGATTCACACGCACCTGGTTTTATTAGGGCTCCTATGTCCTATTTATCAAAGGGCACTTAGCCCATTGAGGGGTCTGGGAGTGCTTTCAGGATTCTAACGGAGCTGCCTAAGGTCTTCACTCTTTGGGGGCTTGTGCCTTTTGTTAATCTAAACCTACACTGCTACTGACTCCAATATTTGCCGTTTTTAGTTTACCAGGCCATTTGGCTGGAGTTCAGAGCTCACACACATATGATCCTTATTATTTCACTACTTTTCCAATCTTTGGTCAGGAAAAAGGAGCCAAGGACCCTCTCTGACTCACGGGTTTAAAACTTCAGTGTATGCAGAGAAAGATGTACAGTTTCTTCTGTGGTAACCTCCGTGACTAGTTGTGTGCCTTGAGATCAACTTACTAAATTGGCTGTCCTAGACTTCGAGTGAAGGATGAGAAACAGTTTAGATGCATTGGGCTAGAACATACAGGTCACCATGGTGAGACACTTGGCAATTAGCTAGCTGGGTTGGTGCTGTGCTGACGTGTTGAGACGCCAGGGGACTGCTCTATTAAGCCATCTTGTATACAGTGTTAGACCAAATGCCAGGGCAGCATGAAGCAAAACAAACAGTCCCGACCTCCAAACCCCAAGAGAGGAGATGGACTAGTCTTCAAGGTGAGTGGCCCTTGGGTACCTGGCCAGTTTTAGTGCAGGCTGGGGTGGGGTGTTGGAGTTCTGAATGTTCCCAGACTCAAAGGCAAAAAGGGATGAACATTCTGATCTGGGCCAGCCGTTGGGGTTTGCATGTAGGTCTTGCAGGTTCCTGGGCGGCATCTGGGTCATGGTGCATTGGCAGTTTTAAAAAAGCACAAGATCTTATTTTCCCAAGTGTGCACAGCAGATAGTGACTGGTGCTGCCTTAAAGTGTGTCCTCACACTCAACCATATCACCTTGGTCCTTAGGGGTGGGGGTGGATTTGGCATCTGGCACTGGCCTCTGGCTGATTCACAGCTATTTCATGGTGGTGGAATGGGGGGGGGTGTAGGGGTCAGCACGGGAAAGGGTCTTTGACCCTCTGTTCCTTTGGTTTTCCAACCACTGCTTCCAGAGTGCGCCCCCCCCCCCCAGGTCCAGAGCTCAGTGCCGGGTCCCTGCTTTTTCTCTCTATCCAGTCTGGGTACCCATTCAGGTTCCGTCTTCTCCAAACTTGTGATCCTGGGTTACTTCATAGCCACTCTGTGCCTTAGTTTACCCAACTGTAAATCGGGTTGCTAATAACCAACCTCATAAGACCGATGCCTGACACAAGTGTGTGTGAAGTGCATGGAACAGTGCTTGCTGCTAGTGCGGGCCCAGGAGAGGTCAGCTGCTGTTACTGACCCTGGGGGAGGCCCTTGCTACCTGATTATAGGCAAAAGTTATATAACACCCAAAGCTACACAAGGAGCTGTGGGTTGGGTCGGAATCTCTTCTGTAAGAGAAATCTGTCATTCCTCTTTGATTTCATTTGCATCGTTTTTAGTTTGTATAGCTACATGGTGCCCTTTCACACTTGGCCTACCTTCTCGAATTTCCCCTACTTTCTACTCCCTCCTTTCTGCCTTTCTTTGTGTTTTTTCAAGTTTTTTGAATTGTAAAAAAATTTCAAGCGTACAGAAAAGTTGCAAGAACAGTACGAAATATTCAGCCAAATTCTCCAAACATTGCTGTTTTGCCACATTTGTTTTGTCATCTCTCTTATTTTGGGGGGGCACTGTTTGAAAGTGAGCTACCGCCATTGTACGTCTTTATCCTTAACTCTGTCAGGGTGTGTTTCCTAAAAATCAGTAACTCTTACATAATTATTGTACTCTTTTACATAGCAATCCCTTTGATAATGAGGTTACTTACTTCCATTGTTAAAACAGTTGTTTAAAGAGAGTTTAAAATCTACAAAATCATTTCTCTTGGGTGGAAATTCTTTTTTCTTACCCTCTGATCTTCTGACCCAGATAACCTTAGCTAGTTTCTCCCCACAGAGACTAGGCCCTGAGCTAACTACTTGACCCTCTCATCTCCTTGGGAGTGGTCTCTTGGGAGGATGGGTGAACTTTAGTTAGGATTTTCTTGGACATAAAACTTCCTTGTGTTTGTCATTTTCCTCTAGTTTGTCACTTGAGACTCTCGACCTGTCTTTCTCCACTGATTTTATCCTCTACACTAATATTCTCCCGTCAATCACAATGGCCTATTTTAAAAAAAGATTTAATTATGCATACAAGTACTGGAGTACAGACCAGAAGTGTGGGGAGGTGGGAAGATTCACTAGAGACAGAGTGGGGAGCAGAACAGGCAGATTGATTGAAATACTGCTGAGGGGAGCAGAGGGGAGGCAGGAGAGGTCTGCCGCACCATGTGGGTCAGGGAGTGGAGCTTATGCCTTAGTAGCTGCTGATAGTCTGATACTGCTGACCTAACCCCTGTGCTACCAGGGAGCCCTAAGAGAATTTTAAGAGTCCAGAGGTTTGGTTTGTGTTTTTGGATCCCATCAAATTTCTAGGGCTTGATTGATGAAGACTATTTGTTTAATACACAAATATATAATATGTGGGTATAGGAACTGAGAGGGGAAAAGGATGGACTCTTGCAAGGAGGTGGGGGCAGAAGGAACTAACATGACCATTAACCCAGCCATAGAGACTCCTAAATCAGACTGCTGTGGGGAATATCATGGTAAAGATACAGAGATTGGGCCCATTGTGATATCTCCAGTCCCTTCAGGATTCCACATAGTTATCCAAAATCAGCAGCAAACAGGGCACTCCACAAAGAAGTGCACCCCTCCCCAAGAGAAAAGGACTATCAGGGCAGTCTCAGCACTGGCGGGGTGCAGCAGTCCTGCCCACCTGTGACTATGCAGGTGCTTATTTCTACCCCTCTCCCTCAGCAGGGCAGCAGCCTACCCATGATCTGTGCCATGCCAGGCCTTCTCTGTACTGACCTCCCTCAGCGGAGGCCACTCTACTTAGGTCACCTGCCTGCAACCATGCAGGCCTCTCTCTGCCTCCTGGGGCAGCTCTTCCTGCCCACTTGTGCCCATGCAAATGTCCTTTACTCCTCTGTCCTTTTCCTTAATAAACCTGCTCTTTAAATATAACCGAGTCTCTGTCTCATGGAGAAACTTGCCAGGGGAACTCGCCACACGCTGCTGAAAGGGGAGCTCTGGGGGAACCTTTCCCAGAGTGAACCCAAAGACCCCAAGCTCCAAAAACGACATCAGGAACCAACTAGAAAACTGTCTCTACCTCCGATGCGAGATAATTCAATTTGACCTCTGAACTTTAGTTTCCTCTTCTCTAAAATGGTGTCATTAATTGTTCCTGCAAGTCTTATTGGAAGCCTGTATGAGGCCAAGAATAGCAATGGGGGTCTTTGCTTGCCTTAAGAGGCAGAGGATGTAAACAAAATGACTGCAGGTACTAAGAAGAAAATAAGCTGGATGGCCGTACAGGCCCATCGCAGGGCGGCAGAGATGTCTCTGAGGCGACTTTTTAATATTTTTTTCAAAGCGTTATCACCTATATCACCGATAACTCTTTGCTTGTAGGAATTCATTGTAACACCAATTTTTGTTTTGACTGTTGGGGCAGAGAAATTTGCAACTGGGTCCCGCCTTCTAGGGGGCGGCACAACTACCCGAAGGGGGATTTCATTGGCTGCGGCAACCACGTGGCCTCAAGTCGACTCGCATCCCTTGGGCCCCACAGCCGTCCATCAAGGACCAGGCTCCGCCTGGGTGCGCCGCCGAGTCCGTCTATAAAAGGAGCCGG